GTTTTTAATTCATTCTTAAATTTGTCACTTTTTACTGTTCTTGAAGACCAAACTACAAATACATTGCCAAGGATGGTTTTGTATTGTGCTATAGACTTAATTTGACAAAAAATTCAGAACTTGTAGCCAACAATTTTATCTGAACTTTAAGTCGAAGTGGGTAATAAGTAAGAGATTCTGTTGTTTTTACCATCATCAGCATGCACTAGCGTGGTAATAATTTATAAAAGGCAAATATGATTGCATAACTGCCTGAAAAGCTTTAAAGTGGTCTGCTACATATGTGGCACACATACAGCTCATGTGCACAAGTCCAGGTCTTGTGTCCTAGGCTTCATGTCTCATGCCACCAGAAATGTCACAAATGCTGCATTAACACACTTTTGGAGGGATACGATCCCTGAGGACTGCACCACAAACACAGCCTTTACGCTGTAACTTTGTGTCTCACTTGTTTCCCTTGTGGCTGGGGATAAATTTGAGGTTTTTCATCTAAATAGTCACTATTCATCTTAACTTATGGTTGGTTATATAATTACCTGCTGTACACTGACCTACGGAATAAAATAGAATTGTGTACATACAGTTGACTTTTGGATATCTGAAATTCCCAAGCTCAATTACAGTGAGTATAAATGATCAGTATAAGGTTGTGCAAACCTGTAAGGGAGTAGTGAGTAGCAGGTAGGATACTGAAGTGGGACCTAGAGCTCTCACTGTGCAGAAGCCAGTCTTGCTGGACTAACCCTGGTGCCACAGAGCGAAGTACTGTGGTGTGAGGGCTGTGTGGTCATACAAGGAAGGCTCAGGAGATGACGCTGGGAGCAAGGCGAGCACTCAGACTTGCTTTCCTTTATATTGAGATACTTGTTTTCTCATGCACAAATAAATACCTATCGAAGACTTGAACATCCTTCTCTCAAAATTTAAGGATTTTTAGTTTTAATGTCTTTTTGTGTAGTAAATATTTGCCTAAATGGCCCCCAAGTTGTATGAGGATCTCTGTATGTCTCTTCTTTTAAAGTCTCATTATTAAAACTCAGTTACCAAACACACAAAAAAAAATTAAAACAGAAACATTAAATCTGCTGGAAAAGAGAATAGGTAAAAGGCTTGAAGACACTGGTGTAGGCAGAGTTCATGGGCAAAACCCTGATCACAGGAAGTATCACAAAGAATCAACAACTGGGATCTCATCTTATTAAAAATCTTTTCCACAGCTAGGGAAACCATCAAGAGTGAAGAGATAGCCCACCGAGTGGGAATACATTTTTGCCAGCTGTTTCTCAAAGGGTTACTGTCGAGAACATATAAAGACCTAAAGAAAATCAGATCTCCAAAATTAAAGGCCCAATCCAAAAATGGGCGTTTGATATCAATACACACTTCTCAGATGAACAAATACATACGGCAAATATATGAAAAAATGTTCACCATCACTGTTCATTCAAGAGATGCAAATTAAAACCACACTTGAGATTCCATCTCACCCCAAAAAGAATGGCTATTATCAAGAAATAAACCAATAACAAATGCTGGAGGGGCTGTGTGGAAAAAGGAACCCTTCTCCACTGTTGGTGGAGTGTAGACTGGTGCAACCCCTGTGGAAATCAGTGTGGAGATTCCTCAAAAAACTAGGATTGGGGGTCCTATTTGATCCAGCTATTCTCCTGCTGGGTATCTTTGCAGAGGGATTAAAAACATCATACCACAGCGACATATGTGCACCCATGTTTACAGCAGCACAATTTGTAATAGCTAGATCTTGTAAACAATCCAAGGAATGGATAAGCGTTGGTGGTATAGTGGTGAGCATAGCTGCCTTCCAAGGAATGGATAAAAAAGATGGGGTGTTTTTATACAATGGAGTACTACTGAGCCATAAAGAAGGATAAACTGGAAACTTTTATAGGTAAATGGATGTAACTCAAGACCATACTCATAAATGAAATAAACCAGATGCACATGTGCAAACATCGTACTGTCTCCCTAGTGAGAAGCTGAAAGAGTCAATAAGATCCAAAATGTACAACAGATACTGTGAAAGGGAAAGAAACTGCTCAAAAGGAAAGAACAACTGAGATGGGGGAAAGGAGAAAAGAAGGAAAGGCAGACTCAAATTATATATATATATACATATGATAGTTATACTGCTAATTTCTCTTAGTTCATTGAAAAGAAAGGTTTGTGCTAATAATGTTTGGACCATTAAATGCCTATGTCTTATATTCTGAGTTACTCATTTAAAGAAAACAACACACAATGTATTAAACATTGTTACCTTCCTATTAGCTTGTTTGAATTTTTTTCTTTAAAAATTTTTGAATTCAATGTATCTAGCTATTCCCCTTCTAGGTATCTTCCTGGAAGAGTTAAACATACCTCAGGGATCCATGCCTACCCGTGTTTCTAGCAGCACAATTCATAATAATCTTGCAAGCAGCCTGTATGTCCATCAACAGATGAATGGACAAGGAAAGTGTGGTGTTTACAGATGACGGAGCACTGCTCTGCCATAAGGAGAAAGCTTGAGTCTTCTGTACCTTGAGACCACAATGTTAAATAAATCAGACACAAGTTTAAATATCACATGGTTTCTCTTATATGAGACACTCAATATAAAATACAAAAAAAAAAAAAAAGGACAAGAGGAAAAAAGAGATTAAAAATTACTGAAATCCAGCATGGACAGTGTATCTAAAAGTGTACCTGATTTAGTATAATTGTCTTAGGTGCTGTATATGGTTTTTGGTCTGCTATTCTCACGTTTAATCTGTACAGTATATGTGACAGTTAACTTCATAGGGACTTGTAAGATAACAAAATGAATCTCAAGCTGGCCAAAAGGTGGGTAGAGGGGAAAAGCAAAAAAGGATTGAAACGTGTTATGTACACGTACCAATTCCCCACAACAAATGAAATCATTATGTACTGCAAGTGTGTTAATAAAATAACTATAAAAAGAAAATGGGTGTTTTAATAATATATATGAACAAGCATTTGTTAACGATAAGCCACATAAGAATTATGAGCACAATATAGTGAATATTTCATTTTGGGGGGGGAGTGGTACTGCGAATTGAACTCAGGACCTTGCGCTTGCCAGGCAGGTGCTGTGCCACTGAGCTATACCCTGGCTCGAATATTTAATTTTTAAAAATTATTACAGTGAAAACCATATTGCCATTAATCACCCTCAGAATATTCACTTCAAACACACTTATCCCATGGGTCTCGCCACTTTCTGCAGCACTTCTGGAGTCCTCTTCCCTGAGCGTTGTAATGGTTTTTATCTACATGTCCCCCAAAGCCTCATGTGCTGATAGGTAGGGCTTTTCAGAGATAGCTGGATCTAGGGTATGTGAATGTGGATTAAGGGTGTGACAACTAAATTAGTCTACTGCTTCGTCTAGCAGTGGATTTAGTTCTGGGTGTGAGTGGCACCACTCAAAAACCTCACAGTCTGGACAGGATAAAAGGGAAAGGGAGCCTTGCTGCTGCTGCTGCCTCCTGCCTGCCCTGCCAAGCTAACCTGCCTTGGAGCCAGCCAACTATGGACTGAACCCTCTACAAACTGAGAGTTAAAATAAACCTCTCCTCTTCTAACTTGCGGGTGGCAGGTACTGTGTCCCAGCAATGAGAAAAGGAACTTAAGACAAGTGTCTTTAGTTGCACCATCACGGCTGCCTGGATGTCCTGAATCTGTTCAAAAAGTTGACATTTCATCTGCATTTTGACTTTGAGAAGAGCCAGAAGTCATATAATGGCAGATCGGGTGAATCAGGTGGATGAGGACACGTCCTCCGCCTTTCATGAGCCTGTAGCCTTTCTGTCAGTCATGCTTTTTATCAGACCCTGTAAAGACACTCAGGAAAGGGCTCCAGAGCTGCTTCAGAGAGCGGCAAGAACCGTGGGACGAGTGTGTTCACAGTGAGGGGCAGGGTCTGGAGGGAGAGTCACTGCAGTGTGTCTTTTGCTGTAATAAAGGCTTTAAAATGTTTTCAGCATTCACTGTATTTTCTGATCACCCCTTGAATGTCACTACTAGTGCTGCAAGGACAGAATTAGGACAGACAGGAAAAATTACCAGGAAGAAGGCAGAGGGTTTCCCCCCGGAGACCCCTTGGGCAGCACTGCCTCAGTCTGGGCGGACAGGCAGAATGATCTGGGGCAAATGACTGCACTCTCAATGCCTGTGCCCCGTTCTGTGATGTGGGAAAGAGAGGTCCAGAGGTCTGGTTGACGGCCGTGGCAGAGGAGCGAGTCTGAGCACACTGGACTCCTCGTGTCCTCGGCACACCGAGTGGGTCGCCCTGCCTAGGCTGCCCCGCTCTGACCTCTTACTTCCGCACAGCCCCGGGCCAAAAGTACCGCCTCCAAACCACGCCCCTAGCCACGCCTCCAAACCACGCCCCTAGCCCTTCTCCATTGCCCCGCCTCCAGCCTGCTCAATAAAACGCCTGGTACTTCCACAATAAACCGGATCTGCGCCCTCAGCCTGGTGTCCGGTGTCTTCACTTCACCATGTCGCCACTTACCACGGGCCCAGGTCCCTCGACCCAAGGAGGTTCAACCTCACTGCGAAGTGGGGATAACACAGGAACAGTGCCTGCCCCACCAGACTACATCAGAGGTTAGATGACTACTTTTAAAGTGCCCTGTGTACAAATGCACCAACATATAAAGAGCCTAGTCTTAAGGGACTGGGTCAGGTCAAGGCTGCAGAAATCTCTTAAGGAGCAGGACATGGTGGCACACGCCTGGAATCCCAGCACTCTGACAGGCTGAGGCAGGAGGATCGCAAGTCTGTGCCCAGCCTATGCAACTTAGTGACTCAGTGAGACGCTGTCACAAAATAAAAAGGTCTGGGAATACAGCTCCACGTAAAGGCCCCGGGTAGGTTTTGTTTTTAAAAGGAGGGTACGGGGAAATCAGATACAAGGTGTAGAGACTGAAACCACAACTTCTAGAAATTTCCTCTGCCTTTGTATTTCACTCACCACCACCGCACAGAGGCTGTAGTTAGGTTGCTTCCGGAAGACAGGGCAGATGTAAGGCGTGAGGTCCAGGTTAGTGAGCGGGTAGTAAATGTCAGTTCTCAGCTTCCTCTTCACCTGGGCCTGGATGTCAAACCTGGAAGGGGAGATGCGTGTGATTCGTGCAGGGAGCTCCGAAGCTCACACAGACATCGCCTGCGCACCTGGACCGGTTCCGAGGACACCGAGAGGTTATCTGATACAGACTGTCAGTACAAATTGCTTCTCTCATCTAAATATCTAGAAACGTCTCACTAAAGCCAGGCACGGCGGTGCACGCCTGCCATCCCAGCACTCGGGAGGCCGAGGCAGGACTGCCACAAGTTTGAGGCCAGTGTGGGTTATGCAATGACCTGACTCTCGGGGAAGGAAAGGAGCCACGGTGAGCCAGAGCGACCTGTAGCCCCGGGCTGGCTGTCCCTGACGGCGAGCTCAGCACAGCTTGCTGGTCCCACATCCTGTTCCAAGCTCTGGGGTCTTGATGTCTTGAGGCAAAGATCTGGCAAAAGTGCGTCCCCCTCAGATCAGAAGTTCTCAGGTGTGGCCTCAGATTCACTCAGCAGCGTTTTTAAAAACTAACCATGTTAGTTGTGGTAAAATACAAGCTGAGGTCTGAGGAGGGAAACTACAGCTGAGGCTGGGTCGTCCCTGGGCCAGGGACTGAGGAACTTCGCAGCCACGCTCCACCCTCCCCGGGACTCCGGAGACGCGAAGATCCACTTCCCGGGGAAACCTGCAGCTGGGGTTCACAGCAGCATCACTCACAGGCGCCAGGACCTGGACACAAGCAAGGCTCATCCGCTGGTTCTGAATAGATTTCAGGATGTTTTTTCCTAATTCTGTGTGCCATGGTTTGGTTCGGGATGTCCTCCCAAAACCTCATGCAGTCATAGGGCAGGCTTCCAGAGTCTATGATTGATTCATGGGTGTGAGAGCTACACCAGGCCTGGGGAGGAGTTTGCATATGTAAGGGAGAGAAAGAGGCTGCTTGCCACCACTCCTCCCTCTTGCTATCTTCTGCCACCATGAACAGCTGCCCTCTGCCATGTGCCAGCCTGCCTTGGCGCCAGCCAAATCTGAACTAAAACCTCCACAGACTGTGATCTAAATAAACCTTTCCTTACTTAATTCTGGGTGTCAGGTATTTTGTCTCAGCAACAAGTAACCAAGAGAGTGAGGAATGTTAATGATATTTCGATGGGATTGCACTAAATCTATCAGTTTTGGAAGTATAGCCCTTTTGACTATATTTGTTCTGCCTACCCAGGAACAGGAGATATCTTCCCATTTTCTAATGTCCTCTTTGATTTCCTTTTTCAGGGTACTGTAGTTTTCACTGTAGAGGTCTTTTGCTTCCTTAGTTAGGTTAATGACTATGTATTTAATTTTTCTTGATACTATTGTCATATTTTCCCCCTAATTTCTTTCTCAATGAACTATTAGTATATATGAATGCTACCAATTTTTGTCTATTTTATATCTTGCTACATTACTGAATTTGGTTATTAATTCTACCGTTTTTTTAGTGGACTTGGGAGGAATCTTCTATGTAGAGGAGCATATCACCTGCAAATAATGATAATTAAAATTCTTCTCCTACTCATATCCTATTCATATCTCTCATCTAATTATTCTTGCTAATGTGTTGAGGACAATGATGAGGTGTGCTAACAGTAGATATTCTTCCTGTTTTTAGAGGTAAAGCTTTCAGTTTTTTCCCATTTAATATGTTGGCAATAGGCTGGTCATAAGTGGCTCTTATGAGATTAAGTTTTTCTATACCTATTTTCTTCAGTGTTTTTTAATCCTGAATGGATGTTGGATTTTGTCAAAGGCTTTTTCCAAGTCAATTAAGATGATCATATGATTTTTGCCCTTGTTTCTATTTTCCTTATAAAATTTTTTCTTTTAATTAAGTTCACTGCCATATTTTAGGTATAATGATCACATTCATAATGGGGAATTTGTACCTGTACATAATATATATTATTTTTTCCCCATTCCCCTACCCTCCCTCCAACCTTTTCCCCACTTTACACAAGCTTTGTTTCCATTTCTTCTTTTTCTTTTCCATCCTACCTTTTACTCCTCTCAACTTCCTAGTTCTTTTCCCCATTTGAATATTTTTTTTTCTTATTTTACAATATCTATTATACATTTTGGTCCTTATTTAAACTTTTGGTTTCTCGCACCAGAGAAACAATGTGGTATTTACAGGTGTCCAATTTATTTCAGTTAAAGAGTATGGTCTCGTGGTGCATCCATTTACCCAGAAATGGCTCAAGTTTAACCTTTATAGCTGAGTAGTATTCCACTGTATAAAAAACCCCATTTCCTTTAGCCGTTCATCCATTGATGGCCATCTGGGCCGTTTCCAAGATTTAGCTAGTATAAACTGTGCTGCTATAAACATGGGTGTACATATATCACCATGGTATGATGCTTTTAATTCTTTTGGAAAGATACCAAGAAGGGGGATAACTGAGTCAAATGGAACCTCTAGTTTTACTTTTTGACCAATTCCCACACTGATTTCCACAACAGTTGCAAGAGTTTGTGCTCCCACCAACAATTGAGAAAGGTGCCTTTTTCCCCAAAGCCCCACCAGTATTTGTTACTGGTTGAGTTTTTAATAGCCATTATTTCTGCAGATGGAATCTCAGCATTGTTTAAATTGGCATCTCTTGAATGACCAGGAATGGTGAACATTTTTTCACACATTTGCCATTTTTACTTCTTCAACTGAGAAGTGTCTACTTCAGATGCCCATTTTTTGGATTAGATCTTTAGATGGAGGGGGCTTGATTTTTTTAGTTCTTTATATATTCTAAATAGTTGTCCTTTGAGGAACAGATGGCAAAAGTTTTTCCTACACTGTGGGTTGTCTTTTCACTGTATTGGTGGTTTCTCTTGCTGCGCAAAAGCTTTTTACTAAGATGAGACCCCAGTTGTTGCTTCTTTGTGATAGTTTTTGTGTGCAAGTCTTTGCCTACACCAATGTCTTCAAGAGTTCTATCTATTCTGTCTTCCAGCAGATTTAGTGTTTCTGTTCTAATATTTAGCTCTTTCATCCACTTCAATTTTAACTTAGTGCATTGTGAAAGATAATGAGTCTAGTTTTAACCTTCAGCATGTAGAAGGCCAGTTTTTTTCAGCACTGTTTATTAATAAACAGGCCATCTTTCTTCCAGTGAAGGTGTTTGGCTTCTTTGCCAAAGGTAAGTTGGCTGAGTATGTCTAGAATTGTTTTTGTGTCTTCTAATCTGTTCCACTGATTCCTGGATCTATTTTTTTTTTTGGCTAGTATCATACTGTTTTTATCACAGTAGCTTTGTAGTTCAATTTCAAGTCAGCAATCATGATACCCCATGCCTTGCCTTTGTTGCCCAGAATTGCCTTTGCTATTCTAGTTCCAAATGCATTTTAGGGTTGTTTTCTCTAATTCTGAGAGATATGCTGTTGGAATTTTGATCAAGATTGTATTAAATCTGTGTAATAACTTTGCAAGCATGACCATTTTCAGTATATTGGCTCTTTCTACCCCAAAACATGGGATATCTTTCCATTTTCTGATACTCTCTTCAATCTCCTTTCTCAGAGTACTATCAAGTTCAATGTAGAGTCTTTTACTTCATTAGCCTGATTCCTAAATTTTTCAGTTTTTTGGATGCTACCGTGAAAAGTGTTTCCCTAATTTCTCTTCCAGTGAGTTTATTATTTGTGTACAGGAAGGCTATTGATTTTTGAGTGTTGTCTTTATATCCAGCTACTTTACTGGATTTGGTTATTAAATTTAGAAGTCTTTTAGTAGTTTTTGATGTCTTCTATGTAAAGTATCATGTTACCCAAAAATAATGAAAATGTAACTTCTTCCTTTTCTAATCTTATTCTTTTTATTTCTTTCTCTTGTCTAATTAGTCTGGCTAATATTTCCCAAATGATACTAAATGAGAGTGGTGACACTGGGCATCCTTGTCTTGTTCCTGATTTTACAGTGAAAGGTTTCAGATTTTGTCCATTTAGTATGATGCTTGCTCTTGGTTTGTAATAAAAGGCTGGCCAGGCATGCTGCTGCATGCCTGTAATCCCAGCACTTGGAAGGCTGAGGCAGGAGGATTACCATAAACTTGAGGTCAGCCTGGGCTATAAAATGAATTCAAGGCCAGCCTGAACTGCATAGCAAGACAATGTCTCAAAAAAAAGGTGTAACAGATGGCTTTTATCAGACATAGCTAAAGACGATCTATTCCAAATTTCTGCAGTTTTTATCATGAAAGGGGGTTGGACTTTGACAAATAATTTTTCTGCCTCTATGGAGATATCATATGGCTTTTGTCCCTGGATGAGTTAATATGGTGTGCATTACACTTATTAATTTGTGTATGTTGAGCCATCCCTGCAACCTTGGGATCAATCCTGCTTTGGTCATGTGTGACATCCTGCACAGCCCTCCAAGTTTCTTGGTGAGGATGGTGAGAGGATGGAAAAAAGGACAAGAGTCAGAATACAGAAAACTGAGGCCAGCTGGAGCCCTCTCTCCTGATGGGAGGACAAAAAGAGGAGGAGGAGGAAAAGAAAGAGGGCCCCAACGCAGCAGCACGTTTATTTATATACTCTGGAGGTTGAAAGTCACATAAAACCCCTCTAATAGCGAGCTTATCATGTGGCTAGCCTCGGTCATCCAGTGTTCTTGAGACTAGAGCAACACACTCATGTGATTTGCCTCAGGCATTCTGTATTCTAGAGGTTGGCCTTGCTCCGGCCCGCCTGTGTGACTGATCTCCAGCTTCAGCCGCTCCCCACATCTCCCCATCTTCTTTCTTTCTTTCTTTTTTTTTTTTTGCTTTTTCTCCAGTACCGGGAACTGAACTCATGATCTTGCACTTGCCAGGCAGGCGCTTCGCCGCTGAGCTAAATCCCCAGCCCCTCCCCCATCTTCTTTCTTATAGTTACAAGCAATAGATGGTCAGCTGGAGTTGGAGGAGCTGTGTTTGGAGGATTCCACAGAAGACCCTTTTATTTTCAAATGCTTTTCACTCTAGATGAACTTTTGAACCCTTTTCATTCTTAATTTAGGCTAAAGATTCCCAGTCCAGA